CGTGACCTTTCCTTTCCCATGTGTGGCTTGGATAACGCTGAATTGACTTTCAGCAGTGGAAATGTGTCATACACATGATTTTATCAGTGTTCTTATAATTGATAAATGTCCTTCACTTGCCATGAAAAAAGCTTTTGACACTCTCTTGAACATATTCAGAAATGCCTGCACACATTTAGTCTATTCTGTTATGTTGCTGGCTTTTTTACTGCATGATGTTAGAAAAAATAGTAGTATTTATGCTTTTAAAAAGGTAGTATTTAGTTTTTCTGTGATTTGAATAAATGACAATTTTATTATTAAAATCACTTGTGAATTGTTTTTGGGATTTTTCTTAATTAAAAATATAATAAATAGAATTATATGCGTGTTTATATTATAATAATACTATTTTTGAATAGGGATGCACCAAAATTGCATCGCAGCATAACCGTATATTGAGTTCATTTACATGTTCAATAATACAATTAGGACTCTGATTAAGAGTCTATAATGTAAACAATGATTTTTAATTACCTTAATCTGACTAAAGTCATAATCGAACTAAACAAAAATCGAATTAAGACATGGGGTAGACCTATTTATGTTGCATTGTTGAAGTGCAGTACAGATATGTAAACACCTTAATCAAACTATAACCATGTCATGTAGGATTTTTCACCGCAATTTGCAACAGGATATTCCATACACACATGGCTGTTTGACACTATTCTCTGCACCTACCGAGTCGGTAAATAAATGACTTCAGACGTCTGCATCATGAAATACAGAGTTTGTTCACTGTTAGAAGATTCTGTTGGTATGATAACCTTGGATAAAAATATCATGGTTTCATGGTATTGTATTTGCTGCTCCAAAATTGGTTAATTTTAAATGTCTGGGTAAAAACAAACCTTTTTCCCCGTTAAAGACAATCAGTTTTACTTTAAGAATTAATTAAAGCACTTTGGAACAGTAAACATGTCAGACTAAATAATTAAAATAAATCATTGACTTCTGCTGTCTTCATTTATTTCAAAAACACAGATTTCTTTACAACTTGAAAAGGCATCTTCGGAGATCTTTCTTTTGTTTGGATATGAAGTAAAGCCACAGCACCCGAAATTACATGAGACCACTGGAAACATTGATAGCGTGGTGTATCAGTGACATTAATCAAATTATGGGCTATGACATGTAAAATGGGATCATGAAAGGAACATTCAAAATGCATGTAAACATATTAATACTGTCTTATACATAGTCTTGTAAACATAGTCATTGGCTCATATTTTGGCCATTTTTCTCTTCTGGCACAAAAAGTTCAGTTTTTTTAGATAAATTTTTTGCAGCCAAAAATTTGGTGCATCTCGTAATACTTAAATTAAAAAAAAAAAATTATAATTATATACATTTAAAGTAAAAGGATCACGGTTACATTTTAGTCTCATCATAAAATTAAATACAGGTTTTTATATAGAAAGAAGATTTCTGTGTGGAGTTTGCATGTTCTCCCGTTTTTGCGTGGGTTTCCGCCGGGAGCAGAATTGTTTTTATCTAGACTTTTGTTTCAGAACCTGATGCATTTCCCCAGTTAGCGTGGTTCGTTTGGCATATATTAATCCAGTAATCACATTGCATTATGCATATATGGCTAAATTCAGAGAGAACTACGAGCAAGGCAGGATGCTGTCATTTCTACTGGTAAATACAGTATGCGTTTCATGTCTGAAAATATTTCATACTGAAAATATTGAAATATTACACAGTGCTGTTTATCAGGTAGGCAAATTGACCGAACTGCAGTCTTAGTTTATCTGTTGTTTCTCTATATAATGTAAAGCCTATAATGCATAATTCTATCTAAGGCTATGCATGAGAAAGTCTTACCTCTGATTTATATTTGGCGACCATGTCTGTGGGTGTCACCATTCAAAATTAAAGTCCACCTTTTTGCTTATAATGTCTTTTTGCTCATTGCCATAATATAAAATAAGGACTCATGACAGCTGAGCCGGAAAAAATAAACCCTGAAACTCTGACCAATGTGAGGAGAGTTTACTCACTCATGACTTGTTTTAGCTAATTTGGTCCATTTGAGATATTTTGCCGTGGGAAAGCAAACACCACCAAGAACAAAGAGCAACATTGTAACAATTTTACTCCCTGTTTCAGGACAACACAATCAATCTACGGGTGTGAAAGCATCCTAAAAATAACTTATTTTGGAGCTGTAATCACAATGCCATAATATCGTTAAACCATGATATTTTTATCCAAGGTTATCATATCATCAGAATCTTATACCGGCCCATGACTGTAAATATCATAGTTGTTAGTCTTTTATTGACTTTCACTTTCACACCAAACCATTACTCTCACTCAGCCTCCCCCACTTTTTTGTTTTGTTTGTGTCGCTCATTCCTTCTCTTTATCTGTATTACCTTCCCCCTTTTTCGCTCATCCCCTCTCAGACATTCTCAGTAGGATGTGTTGCCAGGAGACAGGATTCTCTACCTATTGTAAGAGCACAAAGGGGGTCCGCAATCACTAGTGCCCGGGCTCACGGGACCGACGTAAGGAGAGTTTGGAGGGGAATAGGAGATAAAAAATGGGGCACAGAGAGAGGAGAGTGTGTTGAGGTGGTCTTTTTTGGCCTCATTCTTGTAGGTTAAATTGCTTTAAATTGATTTGTTGTGTCATGCTCAGCTGGTGGAGGTCAAGAGGAGCTGGGTGGAGATGGATATTCTTAGAAATAAAGGGCCCCCCTTACCCGTGACACACATGCTTGGAGTCCATTATGCTTGAGATTGAGCTGGTCATGTGACTAGAAGTGCATTTTGAACTTCAGACTTTAGTTGTGTAGCATCATCTTTTCCATGTCTCTTGTTTATGTGGTGTTGAATTTACATGTGTTTCTGGCCACGCAGCAAATCCTGAGTCTGTTTTTGATTAATATCTGCTCTCCTTCTCTTAATCTACATATTTGCATGCAGGCTTACTCTTTGCTTTTTCTGTTTCCACCATGTAGTGATGGGCTGATCTTTTTTCAAGGCTGACTCTGCTATATTTCTTTGACAAGCAAATAAATTTCTTTTCAGGCAACAAGTGCAAATATATGAGCACATATACAGTTTGTTTATTCACTTTGTTATTGGCTGAAGTATCTGCTGCCATTTATAATTAGAGGCATCCAACACATTTCAACCGCAGTTCAAACAAATAGAATATTGTAGCAAGAGCAGTTTTTCCATTTAGAAGTGTAAAATGTAGAATTTCAAAATGTGAAAGATGCAAACCATGCATTTATGATCAGAAATAGGGATGTAATGATTCACCTGACTTACGATTCAATGTTCGAGTTTTAAATATATATATATATATTTTGATTTTCAAAAGAAAATGCATACTATACATAACTTGCATAAGCTCTCATACAGAAAGAGATTTGTAGATCTTGCATATGCTTAACGGTGTTCATAATTGGTGGGTGCGCCTAAATTTTTAAAGTTGGGAGCACCGGTGCTACCAAGCAAAAAGGTTAACTTCGGGCCCTGTTAACAGTAGCAAACCTCCGTTTACATTTGAAATGTTTGTTGCTTTATTTCGTTTTTTTACTTATGGAGATTATCTTGTAGCACACTGACATGAGACCCATTTAATCACATTCTCCTCATTGGTAGCTTAATTTATCATCTAAGCTCTGACAGCTTCTTATTTGTTATGTGTAATTTTCATTTCACAAGTGCGCCATTCAAGGTGATTAAAAATAGATTTTAAATAATGGTTGTATGGATTGGGTTTGTAGTAACACATTTTTAGACTGATTCATTACTTTTTGGGAAAAAAATGAGTGATCTTTAGTTCTATAAATCTTGAATGAAAAAGAAAGTGCAGTAAAAGCAGTTATGATTAGCGTGGTAGTGGAGCACAGCACCGAAGGCTTTAGTAGCAGATTTATGGCTCCAGATGGAGAGAGTAGGCCTAGGTGATTGAATGAAGTCATGTCCTCCACACAGCCCTGATCTGAGCTTGAGAGCTGGCTATATTAATTAAAATTAAATGAAATGCAGCCTTCAGCCAGGGTCACCAAAGGATCCATTCGTTTAAAGAATTACTTTGATCACAGGGAAAACGAGCATATATTACTGCTAATGGGGGATTTTTTGAATGGCCCATGTCAGCAGTATTAATTTGTTGACTGCAGTGTCGCTTTTTATGTGATTCAGTATTCCTTGTGCAATACACATTGGTACAATTTTTACTCCCACAAATCAAAGCACTAGAGATGCCCAAGGGAAATTTGCACACTGTCATAGGTGTGACATCTAAAAAGTTCTCTCGTATTAAATTTGGTGTATCACACAGTTTACCTTCATTCAACTATTTGTGTTGAAACGTCATTTTAATAACTGATATACTATCCTGGTTCTGACTAAACAGAACCTCATGGGACTGATCTCAGATTAGTGGTTCCAGGTGTCCTCTATAATTTTGTGATGTTAATGGGAAAGGCACTCTAGCTGTTATTAATTGTTTTTGAAAGACTGGTCTTTCTTGTTTGGAAGTTTCAGCTGTGCATTACTGTAAATAACAGAGGACTGAGTCAACTCGGTGAAACTGCTTTCGAAACAGTTAATATAAGTATTTGGTAACGGTGTACTTTTTCTGTATAATTTCATCATGCAGATGCTTTATTTCTGAGGTTCATCAGAGCCCCAAATTTTTCTGCTCTGCTATTTGTCATTTACTAAATGATGTTCATTGCAAGAATAGATGTCAGATGTCTTCATCTTTAGCCCTAATGAGGTCATGCACCATACAAATCTTCTGAGAAATCAGTCATTGTCTCGATAATGCTGCATTCCACAAGCTTAAAGTAGAACTTAAGCGAGAGACACAAACTATATAATAATTACAAAACTATGTTATCTAACACAAGGGACTTGCATTGTTTAAACTATTGGTTTTTGGAAATATTTCATTTTTAAATTTGTGATCTCTTTTTCTGCTCTTCTCAGGCTCAGCCTGTGGACTACAGATCACCTCTACTGGTCAGACATCCATTGAGAAAGCCAGCGGAGAGAGTGTAAAGCTGGACTGTCAATTTACTCTTGCTTCTGATGATTCTGGGCCTTTGGACATTGAGTGGAGCTTGCAGCCCTCCGACAACCAGAAAGAAGAGAAAGTGGTGAGTAGACAATGTGATTGTATTTTGTGTTATGTGTCTGCGTGACTCTCTCCTTATGTGCTTTGGGAAAACATATTTGATGTCTCCACTATTCAGAAACCTTTGAGAGGTTAAGTTTCGATGTTGCCCCTTGTTCTCCATTGCTTCTTTTCCCATTGCAAGTTTTTGTTTTCAGCAAAGAAAATGCTTGCAGAACTAGTTTGACTGCCTCTGTTGTTTGAAGTAGAACAGTAACATTCCTCCTGCACAGTCATCAATAATCTCTTGTACATAGTGTCCTTGCCTGAGTTTCAGACAACATGCAATTTGTCAATTCACACTACTCTGTGAAGTTTTATTACAAATAGAGCAACTGTGATTTAATGGATCATATGTGCATTGTGTGTTTTGGAGTGAAGTATAACACTTTGTTCATATACACACAAGAATGACGTATTTCCAATTTTTTAAAAAGTGGTTCCTATTGCAATAAATGCCACTCAACACGAACCTATCCACCTGTTAAGTGTGACGTCACGTGAAGCTGCTTCCAGGTCTAAGCGCCATATCAAACTGTATAGGGAGGCTCATCAAATATTAATAATAAATGTTTGCAAAGCGATGTAATACTTTCAAAAATCACGATATATATATATATATATATATATATATATATATATATATATATTATAAATTGTTAAAATATTGATGTGTCGTAGGGTTTTCACGAAACTGGAATTCGATACCAATTGGTACAGAAATTTTAAAAACATCTATTTCCTGTGAACATTTAAGCGATGTGTAGCACGTTCTTAAACAGCGTTAATTTTCGATTGTGTTCATGTGCCCAACAGAAATGACTGTGATTGGCCGTGAAGACCATCAGTACACCAAACTCGTCACTGTTTACTGTGTGCAACCACAGATATAGGGACACTGGAGCGTTTTAAAGCTGCGATTCATCAGCAGATTTTTAGTATGTCAGCTTATAAACAAACCAGCTGATCGATGTGACTTTGAAACAGTCTAATGTCCTCATATCTGCAGTTACATGCAGTAAATAGCGGTGAGTTCAGTGAACTGATGACCTTCATGGCCAATTACAGTGATTTCCCTTGAGCACATGAGCACAATGGCAAATCAGCGCTTTTTAAAAGCATGCTCCACATCGCTTAAATGTTCGCGGGACATGGACATTTTTAAAATTTCAGTACCGATTGGTATCAAATTCCAGTATTGTGACAACCCTACGATGACGGTCCAGAGACTGTTGTGCACACCATGATTTTATATAAAATTAATTTTATTGTGTGATATGACTAAAAAGTGGTCATAAACAAACATTTTCTCAATTCAAATAAGCAGATGCTTGGACCCGGAATTTCATACGTCACCGATATGTCACGACTTAACAAGCGAATTGATGCTTTTAAAAGTTTCATGTTATTAAAATAAAGCCTAATTATGATTCGTTTTAACTTAGTGGTATGATTTGTGACAGTACAGTACAGAACGCATTTAATTCTTTTTCCACTGTTATAAATGCCAAAATAGCGAACCATATCACTTTTAGGACACTTTCGTAAAGGTACCTTCCACAACACTATGGTACCTAAAGTATGAATCTAGACTTGCTACAGAATGCTGATATTCTACAGAGAATATATAATGACCCTAACAAAATGAAACCTGCATTATTATACAACATTATTTCAAGAGCATCCCACTCAGGATCCACTTAAAAGTCAATATGGGGGCATTTCACTGGGATCATTTTTGAAGGCTGACCTTTCGCTATACATTTTCCCGCTTTGATCTGCACAGAGCAGGTGTTGGTTTGCGAGCAGCACATCTGTCAGTGAGGGTAACAGCACGCCACATTGTTTTATGAACGCATCCTGTTGTTTTAGTGCTCTATAAAGTTGTTCCCTGGATGAATATGTGTGCGCCTCCACATAAAGGCTCTTTTGATTTTACTCGTGTTGGATGTGCATTTGAGTTTTATTGGTTTTGGCAGCTCTTAGTTGATGTTATGTATTGATGTTTTTTGTGGGTGTCTAAGTGCTTATACATTCACTCCACTATAAACTGTAGTCTGCAGAGGCTCTGTTCATTTTCCTTGCATCCAGACAACAGCTATTTCTGTAAACTAGACCACAATTAAACCACCCCTCACTTCCTTATAAAAGGCTGATTTTGCCCTAACACTGGGCTTGCAGGTAAAGTAAGCAGCCATATATATGTGTGCTTGTCTACTGCAGCCCCTTCATGCAGAGATTACCTCATACTCTTTCTCTCTAGAGATTATGCATTTAGCTGGGGACAGAATTGGGTCAGAAGCCCTCGATGGTCGATCTCTCTTTGGTATCCTTGCACCTTTCTGCCTATCGCTCTCTCTCTTTCTCTCTCCCACCCGTACTTTTGCTCTACTCCATCTTTTTTTTCCTTCTCAAAGCTCCTTCATTTCTTCTGTCGTTCTACACCTAATTTTTCATTCTATTTTTATCATTCTCCCTCACATTTCTGTTCCCCTCAATTGCTCAGTTTGCTGTTTGCCGGTTCGTCCTCATGGGCATAGACCTGATCTCTTCCCCCTCTGTTCTGCCAGGCTTTGCCCCAGGACTTGAGATTTGTCTTTGACCCACTTCATCGTTTTTAATGGTTTATAAGAAGCTGAAGGTTGGACACTAGATACTTTCATCTTCTTTTTGTATTTTTGGAGAAATTGCTAATAGTTTTTGTGGCCCACTTTTTCTATCTGGTGGGTTTTTATGGAGTTCTGCTTGTGCTTGGGCAACTAGTATTTCAGTATGTGAACAGAAATTATTTGAAAAAGTGATACTAAAATGGCAAGTATCGCCTGTTTATGGTTGAATTATTAAGCTTATATGTAAGATTTTATATATATTTCAGTCTTTTTAAAATGTGAAATGCCATTGCATAGCAATGCATGTGTAGTTAAGAGTCTTAAAATAGACTTTGAAATGACACTAATTTCTACCAGGGTATGAAAAAATGAATTAATATAGTTGACAGGTGACCATCAAAAAGTTTTGGTTGGTGTTTTGAATGTTTTGACTACACTACCTGACAAAAGACTTGTCACCTATCCAAATTTTTGGAATAACAAATAATAACACAGAAATAAAGGTACGAGAGCTGTCACTGGGGTGGTACCTTTTCAAAAGGTACACATTTTTACTTGTAGGGTCCATATTGGTACCTCAAGTATTACAGGGCTCGAAATTGCGACCATTTTGGTCGCATATGCGCCCGAAAATTAATCTATGCGACCTCATAATATATCTGGGAGCATTAGTGCGACTGCAGATAATGGTTGTAGTGCGACCTGTTTTGTTTTTTTCTAAAAACGTGCTGAATCGCTCTTCCCTGCCGCTATATTGGTTCATATTAGCTGTCAATCACTCAAGGTATTCCACTGTCAGATGACAGGGAAGGAGCTTTTATGACCACGGGAAATGCAAACGGCTGAAGAGTAAAAACTTAAAGCACACAGGTTTGCAAACCCCACCTAAAGTTGAAGCGCAGATGAAAGCGATCATGACACGTCACGTGGTGAATAATGATCCGCCAGCTGTGATCAATCGAGTACGCGCTTCTTGGAGAAGGTGCCCGAATCTCCATGCGTTGCATTCACTGCGTGTTCAGTGCAAATGTCCGCTAAAAGTCAAATCTAATACTGTACATATCATCGCCAAAGGAGCTTGCCTTTATTAAGTTTACACTGAAACTGCGGCTCATAACAAAGACCGGTATTGGGCCGGTGGTCAGCGCAAGAATCCTGCTCTGCCTGCACATAAATTGGGTCGGCTGACTCGCCAGCTTTTCCACTAACACAGAAACATGAAGATCAGCTCAGACTGAACCTTTAAATTGACACAAACTGAAACCAAAACTTTTAAAGAGTGATAGAAGTGAGACTTTACTTACTTTCTTTTGTCTATTCTTGTTTGAGGTGTGTATATATATATATATATTTTTTTTTTTTTATTTACTGATGACTGCTTTGCAGCTTTCATCATTGAATTGAATGATTTATTATAATCTTTTGTTTGTTTTGTTGCAGAAATATTATTTATTAAATTGACATGCATATAAAAACAGCAGCACAAAATAAATTTTTCTTACTGCAATGCTTCATTTTTGTTTGATGCAAACTATATAATTATTTTTCATAAAGTAACTGACATTTTATAGCAGATAACCTACATTCATGCACATTCAAGGCAGTATCATAATGAGAAATGTAATTCATTGTTACTATTATTGTCATTTTCATCATCATTAATATTCTATAGCATAATTATTAGACATTCATTTTGGAATTATTGCACACAAATATCAATGTCTTCGCAGCATTAGTTAGATAGTTGTTTCTGGTTTTTGTCAGTCCTATTAATGTTGTTTTAAAATACAATAAATCCCTTAAAAAACAATTTGCAGCGGTGCTCATTCATTTTTGGTGGGTGCTCCTAAATTTTTTCTGGTGCTCCTAAAATTTTTTTGGTGCTCCTAAATATTTGAAGTTGGGAGCACCGGTGCTACCAAGTAAAAAACTTACCTTCGAGCCCTGTATTAGTACCTAAACATTTTAAGAGTAACACTTTTGTACATTTTAGGTAATAATATGTACCCTTGAGGTATTAATTTAGGCATTAATTACAAATTCGTACCTTCTGAAAAGGTACCACCCCAATGACAGCTCCTTTACCTATATTTCTGAGAGTGGATGGTATCAGAAGTGGCTTTAATGAAAGGCCTCTAGATTACACTTATTTTTTACAAAATAAAAAATGATCATGTCTTGATTTTTAATTATTTAATTAGGACAGTGTGGTCTGACTTAGACAAAAGTCTTGTCACTTAACAGAAATAATGTACAGTATAGAATATAAAGTCATGGTGCTGTGGAAAAATAATTAATATTGTGGATGACTCCCATGAGCTTGGAGGACTGCATCCATACATCTCTGCAATGACTCAAATAACCTATTAATAAA